ATAATGAGAATATGACAGACATGCTACATTCCATTTTTACTACGTTCATTAGCGTCACGCACAGACTTGCGTTGCATTACGCACAGACTTACTGCTATTTTTAACCGCATCATCTGATCTGACCGTTTAGTATGCGCAACAGAAAACTCCGCCTTTGCTTCCTTGTTGTTGTCGCAATTGTATTGGTGAATCTTCTATCGATCGCGGCACTTACGGATATTCAAAGGGACTTTATTCTGCAGTATCACAATGATAAACGCTTCAATGACACTCCACGGGCTGTCAACATGCGAGTCATGGTGAGTTGGTTTATGCTATTTCATTTGCAAACATGACATGTTCCAATGCAACAAAGATTTTTTATGGATTTATTCGCAAATCATATATTTATTTGACATCCGTCGACCTAATACGTAAAATGCATTTAAATGCGATGTATACTGCCAACAATTCATCGCTTAAAGACACCGTCAAACGCCAGGCCCACCATGCTTGGACATCGTGAAACAGATAATCCGAAGGATGTACAACGTGCCTGACCTGAGGCAGGGTGCGAATGCAACAAAACACAAATATTCAGAAGAGACAATGGCGAGTGAACGTTCTTTCGGTAAATTCTCATCACGACTTGCTTCGCGAAAATGGGTACCCTGACAGGTTCATTGCAAAGAACCTTACCGAACGACCCGCAAAACCCACCACACTAACCGCCGAAAAGAAAACGTTGTTCCTCAAAGTCCCCTTCCAAGGAGACGCTGCAGGTGAACTTCTAAGAAGACGCCTTGACCAAGCTGTCTCGTGAACCTTCCCAGCAGTAAGGGTTCGCATATCATTCTCTACCAAACCTAATCTACGGAGAGAAGGCAAGGATAGACTGCCACCTCAGACCGCCTCAACGTGCATCTACTCATTCACTTGCTCCTGTGGAGCAGGTTATATTGGTCGTACGAGTCGGCGCCTTTCCAAAAGAATACGAGAGCACCTTCCCGCATGGTTGGCAAAGGGTGAAACTAGGAGAATAGACAGCGCCATCCTTGCGCATGCAGTGGACTTAGGGCATCGTGTGGACCCCACTGAAGCATTCCGTGTGATTTACAAGGTCCCCTCGAGCTACCCTAAGCTACTGGGCCAGCGCCTGTTAGCAACAGCAGAAGCGGCCGTCATAAGGTTAGGAAAACCGACCCTATGCGCCCAAAAGAACCTTGTCCAGGCTCCGCGCTTACCGTGGTCAAAGGTTGACTAACCACATACAACTTTCTGCGCCCTTCCGCTCTTGCCTAGCCTGTGATTTAAAACCTAACTTTTATCGATTTTTGTTTCACTTACTGTACCCCGCCATACGTAACTGTATTGGCCTGATGAGAATTTATCGAAAGGAACGTTCACTCGCCACTGTCTCTTCTGAACATCGCGATGGGGATTTTCAAAACTTTAAAACACAAATAATAAGGAAGCATGGTCAAACGTGTGTAAGGACATGTGAAACAAATTTGGACCGATCCATCCGCAGCAACTGTTTATCTACGAACGCTTAAGAAATTTTGAATCCAGTTTAGGAGATTTCCCCTTATCCTTACGCCTGACAACTTTTGAATGTGAAACGCATTCAACCGCTTTGCTGAAGTCATAGGAAATGACATCCACTGGGTGTTCTTCAGTCATGGCCTTTGACCAATGTTCGAGCGACGTGAGCGGTTTTTGGGTGGCAGGACCTCTCTTCACAGAAACCGTGTTGAAGCGAGCCGATGTAACGGTGAAATGTATCTAGCTATGTAATTGATTTTTTAACTATCCATTTCATCAGCTTGCAGCAAATGCATGTGTGTATATGCAGCATTCAATGGTGCTATAAAATTTCACGACCTCTTTGTCGACTGCGTAAATTTACCTAATCTGGACGACTCAAGCGTGGTAGGTAAATGCATACAGGAGGTGTTGATCTTGTGGACTCTCGTCATGTGATGACCCAATGACTGCGTTTGACATCATAGTCCAAGCGACGACTGGGCGTCTCCTGCGCTCTTCTAAATCCCCTGCTATACGGAGGAGACTGTCACAACTCTCTTAACAGTTGTATCTCGTGACTAACCTCGCGCTTCCATAAGACAAGTTGATGACGTGAATGCCCCCACTTCCTCTCCCGTTCGCTTATCCGCCCAGCTGGACTGACTACTGTTCCCTGCTGTGTTGTCATGCTTGACGAGGTTATGCTGTTTCCCGGACTCGTTCACATAGACGACCTCTCTCCTCTTGCCCCTTGCCTACCAGCATATCAGATCAGCTTTCCCTCTACTTACCCATTATTTTTTATCCCCCTTGACAGTGTACTAACTGAAAATTACGAAGTTGATTAAGTGTTAGCTGAATTCGACGACATCGTTAAACACCGAAAATGTCGTCGCTCTTGTCTCTTCCTAATCTTCTAGATCTTTGTATAGATGAAAACGCTTACAAATGACTGAAAACCCATAATGTGTTTTGATGTGATAAGCTTTACTGCTACCAGAGCTGTAATCCGAAAATTTTAGTCGCATACTTATTTCATATTGACTAAACCGTGAAAAGTCGGCGCCTCGTTGGGATTCAAATCCATGAAAGCTAGGGAAAAGCTAGAGCGTTTGCTGGACTAAAGCCTTTCTACTGTTGTCGTGCGTTCCAATCCTACCGAAAAGCCGCCGTTTTCAGAGTTGGGTTATTATGAACTATTCAAATTCTGCCAAAACATCAACATCCTAAATTTTTTGGCTTGCGTAGAACGGCATTCCAAGGGCTAAGCACTTTTCATCAATCAAAATCTCTAACATGAGGTTATCGTGGACTTATGGTCGATAATATTTAATTTTTTTCATTCGCACTGTTAACCTTTAAACATTTTGACGATAACCCTCGATTCCTTGTCTTTTTTATCCTACATAGACATATGATTTGGGTCTTGAAGCTCTGGCGCAGCGTTGGGTTAACAGATGCAAGTTTGAGCACCCGTCACTTTTAAACAAGGAATATATTAGTTCGGGCCAAAATATCGGCGCCACTGGCGGAATGAGTGAAAATGTCACGGTTGACGCAATTTTAAGAGCTTGGTATGCTGAGAAGCTGTTCTACAACTACGCTAGAAGGGCATGTTCAAAAGTGTGCGGCCACTACACTCAGGTATGCTTATTTAATCCCGCTTAGCAATGCACCCCTTGAGCAACATTTTAAATCCCTGGTTTGTAAAATTATAACGATGACCTAAGTAACAGATGAAGAGGAAAGAAAGTCGATTTGAAAATGTTTCACTAGTTTAGTATTCAACATTTTAAACTTTATCTTAAAAACTCCAGAGATATTGCGCACCTTCTTAAAGTGAATCTCTCAGCATTATGAACATTCCTATTTATTTGCAGGACCTTGTCTAGTATAAGCCAAATGTACGGGTTTTTCGAAAATACAGTAAGTGATCAATCTCACGAAATATTAGATGGAATTCTGAAATGCGTTTTAATTAGGAAGAATTACTTCGGTGCGGTTGTAATGCGTATCGTCTTGTGGCACAATCCTATAATATTTCGGACCTCGCAAGATGTTAGATTTCGAATGCACTGCTTTTCAACCCCCTGCAGAGATCGTACTTGGTAAAAAAGGACTTCTTAAGTAGCACGCATTTTTCTCGTTAATTTTCTGTGTCCTACAAATTCGAATATATCTTATAAAAACCATAAAAACTATGCCCTAATTCAGTCGTTTGATATGGAATTACGTCTTCTATATATTTTATACTCGAAAAAAGAAGAACAGTTAGGATTTAAGGAAGTTTCGAACGATGAGATCGTTTAAAACAACACAACGTCCATTCATAAGGCATCGTGCCTGTCCGTTTACCACCGTTGCTCATGAACTGTACAACATAGTTCCTATCCATTGATGATTAAGTGGACTGCATATTATATCTTTTAAAACGCACAAAAGAATATGGGATTTTCGCATGCACCTTGTAGACTAAAATCACTATGCACTAATGCAACGTATGATCAGGTTCCAAATGACTGGGCAATTAGACAACGTTTTAAAACCTAATTATATTCCTTTTGAAAATATTAAATAGAAAGAGGACGTAAACTTTTGTCAAACGACTAAAGGAAAGCATATTTTGCTTATGGTTCCTATAAGATATATTTGAATTCGATAGACAACGAAAGTCCATGTGAACAATGCTTACTACTTAAGTAGTCATTTTGACCGAGGACGGTTCCTATGGGAGATAGAAAAGCAGTGCATACAAAAGCTATTATCTTGCGAAGTCTGCAATATTATAGGAATGTGCCGGAAGACAATCTATATTACAACCGCACGTAAGTTATCCTTCCTAATCGAAAACGCATTTCAGAATTTCAGACAACATTTCATGCGATCGGTCACCCACTGCAGGCCACATTTAGTATTTGGCAAATTTTACTGAGCTCCCCCATATTAGACATGCTATATCACCAGACAATAAAAAATTTTATATCCTATGGCGTCATGTGTCTACTTAATCCGATATGCACATTGATTTCAACAGACTCCATGTAGGCTCTAACTTTAATAGTAGTGAAAATCCGATTCCCATTGGCATATCAAAAGAAGAGGGGGCGTTCACCGGGAGGGGTTTATTTGAGATCCGACGTTTCGGGTACTTTATCCGTCTACCCATCTTCAGGGACTGGGAGGTCCTGTGCACAGCACTCCTTATTATGGCGCCCTTTGTCCAATGCGTGATCCGCCAATGCCGCCTGTGTGGCTGCATCCAACCCGCATGTCACCGTGACCTGAATCGCCCCCGACGGCCGCGGTGATGACTGACGGCCCCGATTGTCCCGCGCCGTGACTGTCCCCCGCTAAGAAGGTTCGTAAAGTCAGATAGGGGGTGGCGACTATTCGAGGAGTACAAACCCAAGTTTTGGGCACGCTACGTTGATTACACCTTTGTAATCATCGACCACGATAAAATCAACTACTATGCGGAAGTACTGAACTCAATCATGCCCGATCTACAGTTCACGATGGAAGAGGAAGTAGAGGACAAACTTCCATTTTTGGATGTTCTCGTCTGCCGTCAACCAAATGGCGAATTAGCAACGTCGGTTTACAGAAAACCGACGAACACGCTGCGAATTCTCAGCGACCACAGCAACCACCCGCCACAACACAAACGAAGCTGTGTCCGCACGCTGTACCGACGAGTGGAAACTCATTGCAACACGCCAGCCGCCAAACTGAATGAGATAAAGCTCCTCCGAGAACTCTTCAGAGCCAATGGCTATCCGCTAGCATTCATTGAACGAAGCCGGAGGCATCCAAGGAAACGGAACGAAGGGCATAGTCAGCCAAACTCGTGGTGGAGCATTCCGTACATTAAAGGGGTCTCCGAAGTCGTGGCCCGATCACTCGTGCCACTCGGAATAGGTGTTGCCCACAGGCCTGACTCAACAATCCGCCGGCAAGTGATGCGGCCGAAAGATCCGATCCCTAAGCAGGAGATGCCGGCCGTTGTCTACCGACTTCAATGCAGCTGCGGAAGTTGCAACTACGTTGGGGAAACCGGCCGACGGCTGCAAACGCGAATGCACGAGCATAAGTTGGCCGTGCGAAGGTTGGACCCAACGTCGGAGGTAGCAACCCATGCCGCGCAAATGGGACACATCTTCAACTTTGACGCCGTTGAGATTGTGGGCCGGGGCAGCGATCACACAGCAAGGCAAGTGCAAGAAGCCTGGATGTCCACCGACCGCTCTATCAACCGCCACATCAATTTGCCTCCCCCCTATCTGACTTTACGAACCTTCTTAGCGGGGGACAGTCACGGCGCGGGACAATCGGGGCCGTCCGTCATCACCGCGGCCGTCGGGGGCGATTCAGGTCACGGTGACATGCGGGTTGGATGCAGCCACACAGGCGGCATTGGCGGATCACGCATTGGACAAAGGGCGCCATAATAAGGAGTGCTGTGCACAGGACCTCCCAGTCCCTGAAGATGGGTAGACGGATAAAGTACCCGAAACGTCGGATCTCAAATAAACCCCTCCCGGTGAACGCCCCCTCTTCTTTTGATACGCTCCAACTTTATTTGGTGTCATGATGGTTTAAGTAGTATTCGAACGCAAGCAAATCGTTCGCTTTTAATGTTTGGCATTTTCCTCCCTATAAAAATGTAATATTCTAAAATCGCTAGCCGAATCAAAGATTTCTTATTGAATTCACTGCATCCATTAACAATTGCATGGTTTGAGAGATGGATATTTACTAGGTTTTTACGGAAGAAGCTAAATGGAAGATACTAAATTCCTATCATGCTTTCAAGCTGTCATGACCAGTTAATCTTTCACAAGACCCTAAGTCTACGGTTTAAGACGCAAAACATTTCTGTAACTATATTTGCACTTTTCCATGTTGACTGAAGGTTGACTGTTGAGAGTACACAATTTTGTACCGAAAAATCGTATATAATGGCGCAAACATTAGTGACTTTGTAGCATTTGAATTCTGAACGACCTTTAAATCACCAGTGGGGAACAGAAAAATTAAATATAGCACTGTCGGCGGTTTGATGATTCATTCTGGATTTTGATGTTCTGCCTGAAGTTGTTTCTGAATTCTTAAAGTCCATTTGCTATCCTGTATCTATAAGCTATAGAAATTCGTTCCTACAAGTTTTATAAATTTTGTTTTTTTTCTCATCAATTCTAGATGGTCTGGGCGGCTACGGACAGAATTGGTTGCGCCATTCAGACATGTCAAGGCATTTTCCCTGGAATAGAAGCGTTCTATTTCGCTTGTCAGTATGCAAAGAGGTAGGCTCTCTTTTCAGTATTTTAACAATATAAGAGTATTCCGAACTTATGAAATGGCAAAATTTTGCTATTAGTATCGCAAGTCAAGAAGATCAGCATAGTATAATGAGGAGCACGGTGTTCGCTGGAAGAGTTGTGCAGAAACTTTAATGTTGACCAAAACACAAAAACACATACTCAGAAAGATTTTCCGTTATTCAAAAATTTGTCTGTGAGCAAAATTCTATTTTATATAGTAAATTACTCTGTGCTCTTTACGGCTTCATGGCAAACCCATGAAGAAGCCGACGGTAAGTTTACTACAAGCAAATACTGAAATTATTGCGCCTTGCTAAGGCTATCTAGGTAAAAGTGATTGCAAGATGTGAAAGCAGATATATAGAGATGTTTTGAGAGATTGATTCTCTTTCATCTTTACTTAAGTGAGAATAAGGCATATACTCTCAGTAAATACCTTGCCGCGAGGAACGACATTCATATTCGCTCATAAGCGTGTCGTTTAACGAGAAATTCAAATTACATAATAGAAACGGAAAATCGTGATCTTCATTCGTTAAAAAATAGCAACCAACACAAAGACCTGACTCCCACAAGATTTGACGCTTGGTCTGTTTGGATCACTAGCTCGTGTGTAAATGGCTCTGTGTACTGAAGCGATTGGAATTAAAGTAGGGAGTACGCAAAAACACATGGGTGTAATGTAAGTAGTATACGATATGGCAGATAGTTCTGCTCTGCCTCAAGCCTTAGTGTTTCACACTCGTTTGACTCGGCATAAATTGACGAGCCACATATAATTATAATTATACACGACACAAAAAGACTTACACAGAAGAATAGTTATCTATTACGGTGATAGTTCATGTGTCGGAGTATGGACTTGTGTCTCTTTACATGTAAGACACCGTCCAAGAAATGCAATACAGAATGCTGATATGCGGATATACGAGAAGAGGGATACCGGAGGCCACGGTGTGTGCGCGGGGGATTTCACGGTAATTACTTCAGAAATAACGGACTGAACGTCATCCAGCAATCAATCAGTGAATTGCGTGACGATTACAAAGGGTTTTTATATGACAGTATTGACTAAAAAGACACAATAACCATCGGCAACAGAAGAGAGCAATCGCAGGACGCGTTTTATATCCTTCATGTCGTTTTTAAGCAAGGCAGAAAAGCTTTCAGATGAACAATAAAGAATGAGAGGGAAAATGCAGCCATCTAGTAATCACCAGACTATGGATTGAGGTGTGTGAAAGGAACGCAAATAACGAAAGTAAAAAATAAGATTACGAACCTAGGTAGAAAGGGTCTCAATATGAAAAAAGGCAAAAGATTTGATGCCAGAGTAACGCCTAAGTACTCGAGAAAAAAATCTTTGTTGAAAAGGATGACTAAGGGTTCAAGATTAGGAGAAGATCGCAGTCATAAATACAGTGGATTTGTTTCTGATTTTCCGGTAACCGACCATTTTCCAATGACCATGCCGAAACATGGTCCAGGTCTTCTCCTGAAAATATTGATGACTCTGATTTTTGAAAGTGTTACCAACGGTCGTATCTTTCATACTCTCCATAAACCGGCAATTAACTGACAATCTCAAGTTATCAATTAGGAAAAAAGTGATGAGGGAACAAGAGGGAAACTTGGAGAACTCTACGGTTATTAAGAACAGTAGGTTTCCATTTGCCAGATTGGACAAACTGAGAAATAATAATAAAATAACCACCAAGCCAAGGGACATTCCAGCCGGAAAAGCCGCAAGCGGCTGTTTAAGGGAGGTACATTGGGTTCGAAATGGTATTAAAGACGAAGGAATAGCCAAAAAATGTACATATGTTCGTAATGACAACCCTTGTCTAGATCTATTAGAGCAGAGTGGGTCACAACAGCAACAGCGTCTAAGGCACTACGGCTGGCCACGCATGTAGATTACAAAGAACGCGAAGAATTTGGAGAAAATAGTATAGTTATATCTAAAGCACTATGTTCAGGCCGCTTCAATAGTACGAAAAAGCAGACAACCGGACGCAAGGATTTAGCACCAAAATAAGACGACTGTTTTAGGAAAAAAAATGGTTCTTTCTGTACGCCAGGTATCAGAATTCCTGGAATCCACTAAAAGCATGTTAATAAATCGTCTCGAATCAGGGGCTACATGGAAACAAGATTTAAGGAAAAATGTTGTGAAGCTGTCCGGCCCGGCAGCTGCTGAATCACGGGCATTTTATGATGTTTCTCCACTGTCGCCGCAGACACAAACAGGAAGACACAGAGAAGTAGGAAACTATCTTTTGAGGAATGGTTGGAATCACTGAGGGAAGGAAACATTCCTCGTTCAAGTAGTCTAGGTCAGCATTTACATGTATCAGTGTCCTACGTTGTACCCCTCAGTACAGTTAACTTCATGCATACCGCTGTGAAAGGTACGTTTCGACTCAGTCACTCAATTTTGTTTCTATTACTGACTACAATAACTGAAAAGCAGGCTTGACATTATTGGTTTTGGACTGTGCACGCTTGAATGCAGATATTGATGACACCTTACTGAAGACAAAATATTGCCAAAAGCATATTAACGCAGATACACGCATGGTCAGTTCCAAGACATTTGATGAACTGACTATTGGTATTTTTTTCTACAGACTTGGTATGAGCTTTCTATAACTACAAACATAAAGCCTGAAGTCCATGTTTGAAATCTGCTATTTGACATGTTAAAAATATCATAGTATGTTACTTTAAAGCAAAGTATGCCAGAAATGCCTGTCTCGCAATGAAGTCGTTAACACTCTTTACTCAAAACCATTTTCTTTCTTTTCAGAGGCAACATTATCGGTCAAAGGCCATACAAAGTCTAAAATAATATTCCACAATTCAAATACAAATAAAGTAAACGCCATTGCACTATAGCGAGATGAACGGATTTCATTTGATTACCCTATTTTAAGTTTGGAGTTCTTTTACATGAGAATAAATATACGAAAAGCCTTAATACCTGTTACTTTGCCTCAATAAGATCCAAGCAGGTGTAATGTTTGATTCATTAGGGGCTCCTTGCATTGGAGTTAACATGAAGGCAGTTGTTAAGGGAATGACCACTAGAGATAGTTGGGGTTTACCTTGAATTAAACAAAGCTTAAGATGGAACACAATTTATTCCCCAGTGCTAACTAATGCTTTTTCGTGTTTTAATTTAAAAATTTAGAAAACTTTGAAAAAAGAATTGATTAAAACATTTCATAGCGGCTTATGAAGGCTTATTGTCTCAAGTAAGCTGTCAGAAAAATAAGAGAAAATACTAGTTTACATTTGATTGTATTCTTGGCAAGACTGTACGTGAAAGACAAATCACAATTATTTTAAATCCCTTGTCTGCTAAAGTTCCACTGAACGCACTCGAGCGCTTAATGTTAAACTTGGATCTTCATAAGAAAATTATCTCTAACCTCTCAGCATGTAAATGCAGCCACTACCATATCTCTAAAAATTAAGTTTAATTTTTGCCGAAAAAATGTCGAAGACTTGGTTTTATCGCAAGTTATGCCGTTTAAAAATATGCAAGATTGTTCCATGGGCTCTGCCTGAACAATTAAATGATTTGCATAGCTCTTCTGAAGATGCTTTTGATGTATACTTAAAACAGTGTGGTGAAGTGCGCCAAGTTGGATCATCGGAAACAATCCAGGTTCACTGGTCGTTCTTGTTGAAACCAGAGATATAAAACGAGTAACTTTATTTCTGCATATGAGCTGAGTTATATATGCACAGCAATTTATAATTAACAAATGACTGAAAGCAGGTTTCGTGGAGATACGACAGTATTGATCAAAGTTTGAAATCATTCATTGCAATCCACCATGAGGAATCAGTTCAACTGGCCGAATCTCAGGTATAATTGTTCAAAAAATCGATTTTATTTTATCGATGTTTTGCCCGCATCCCGATCGTTAGTAGCAGAAATGCTGACTATATACTTTGGGTAGACTACTTTTCATTGTGGATGCGGTCTGAACAAACGTAGGAAACGCTACTGCTCCGAAGTAAATGCCTCTGCTTGAAGACGAGGTGTGTTGGCTTGACGTTTTGAATTCCCACTTAAGCCCGCCATCAAGGAGAGCAACAGATAAGGTTAATGGAGG